TTTCTTGCAATATTTGTTGAACCGTCAAGTAAGCCCAAAGTCTTTCCAATGAACTAACAGGTCTAGACTGAACAGTGTGAAAATTAACAAGTCCAATTGTACATCTTCCAGTCACATTAAGCAAAACGTCTAAATTTTCGGCTAAAAATCACACAATCAAAGTTATGCTCAGTATATAAGAGATACGCACGTGCTCGTCCTGCTACTATTAACTCACTGCCTTTGAAAAGTATCGGATACTGAACCTTAGTCACAGCTGACACTTCGTCCACATATTTAAAAGTCACGTTACTCAACAAAGGCAAAGAAATGGTACGATAAAAATTATGTAGTTGTAAGGAAGCATCAGCTGCTTCGTAAATGTGTCTAGAAAAACCCAGATTTTGCGCAGATAATTTTCTCAAGAAATCTTTATCCGCATCTTCACCAAAAGACAGGGAGAAAATTGGCGCCCGATTTGCTCCATCATTGAGTTTAGATACCTAAAGTAGCGCCACTGTAATGTTTCCTAACAACGTAAACGAATACCTACAAGTGTGACGATTTCATCGCCAGAGTCAATCCCAACGTTCGGTAAACCGTCAGTCAAAAATATGAGTATTGGTTGATATTTATCAGGAAATTTTTTTTCAGTTCTCTTGATCAGAAATAAACCCACTTCTAAACCTCCGATGATATTAGTTGATGCCATATTCTCGTAATTTTCTATGGCAATTTTAGCTTTGTGTATATTTTCGTCAGATACGCTTGCAGCTTCAGGTAAATTCGCTTCCTAAAATAATATCATTAATCTCAGGAAGCACCAGAAATCTATTTTTACCTTCAGCGTTGGTTCTAAATGCCCATAATTTGAGTGAGAATAAGATATATTTGTGTCTACAAAAGTATTGGTCTCGACGTTCCAAACTGACGCGCCTTCGGAGAACCACACAATGTCGAATAAATCTTTAGAGATAAGGTCCGACAGGATATTTTTCATTGCTTCAACCACTTGTTCAAATTTTCTCCCAATCATACTACCGCTGTGATCTAGAACGAACACTACATGTTTACCCATCGCGGACCAAAACCTTGAAGACAACAATTTCGAAACTGGTTTAATAATGAAAAATTTATACCTCTCCCCCCTGGGGATCTCTTTCCACATCATATTGCACCACAAATTGTCCAGCCAAACCATTTTCTTTCGCACTACCAAGACTCTTCGCAAACTTCAGTTGATGCTCGATATCAGGGGTGAATTTAACGCTGATTGACTTATTGCTGATGGAATTTATTTGCACAAAGTCGTTTAAATTTTCTTGGTTTTTACTGATTTCGTTTCCAGTTTGAAGAAAAGGAACCGATTGGAACGTCAGTGGCCTACTTTCGTTGATATGGACCTTTAAAAATTGTTACAATATCGTGAAAGCATTTTAGTTATTTAATACTTCAACACCCAAATCCTCAACAAGTTGCCCAGGGTGGATGTTGATCACAAGTTCGTACCGACCAAACTGGCGCTGAAGGAGTTCCTCATAAGCAAGTCTAAAAATTGTTTTGCTTTCGGGTTCTATGTTTACAGATACCGTAAAGATTTTGGAGTCTCTGGTACTTTGTTCAACGTGAGCAGCACTTTGGCCAGTGGATACAGCCTAAGTCAAATTTTGTTAATCTCTTGAAACAAATTTAAATAGTTGGAACAAACCTCTTGATAGATTTTTTTGGCTTCTTCTTTTTCTTTAACGTATGCTTTGTAGATTTTTTCCTCAATTTCCATTTCAAACTCTGAAATGAAGGCATTGTCGGGTAAGACCACTGAAAACGTTGTTTCGTGAGGGGTGCTATCCGAATTTCTTACTTTGCTCGTTATCAGAGTTCTTGCAAACCGATTGCTGACGTTTGCGAAAATTTGCATAGAATAGATTTGAGGATTAACATGAGTAAGCTGTAAGTTTTGGGTGTTATTCACTAAAATTTCTTTTTGAAATACCTACTTCTGTGATATTAGTTTTCTGTTCTTTTGTAGCCTCTGTACTCGTTACCACAAAATTATTACTTTCAGCAAAAACTGTGCACCCACAGAATGATATCAAGAAGAGCATTTGCCGGTACATGTTGGTGGTTGTTTCTTAAAAAACGACTGTATCCATCCACAAAAACAGTTTATAAATACACTGATAGGAGTCGAAAAATAACAAGGTCACAGGTCGTAGTTTATCTTCACAGTCACCGAAATGTTGCACTTCAGAATCGTCTGGAGGGTGGCATTTAAGTCATAGGATCCAGGTTTTATTAACACAAACATGTTATTATCCCCGCTACAGCAAAACTCTTGCAGCAACATTTCTTGGAATATTTGGTTTATCTTACGTTAGTGGTCGTTCTGAAACCCAATTTTTTTCCGTGTACCTACCACCAAAATTGATTAATTTTAATCGTTGATCCTGCCTTTTGAGAATTCAAGTTTTTGGAAGGAGTGAACAGACCAATTCTGAGTAGCGCCTTATCGAAATCGTGATAACCTTAAACCGTTTCAAAGTTTCGGAATAATCGATTTTGTATTTTCTAGGATAAACTGTCATTTTTTTTTGTGGATTTAAATGTTAGTTATAAAAGGACACTAATATTTTTTAGCGACATAAAATTTTTGGTGGAGAAGAGGATACATTTTGGTTACTGTTATATCACCTACACGATATTCTTAAAATTTTAAAGTTTACACAATAATCAGTCCAGTAGTTTTACAGATTTTTTAAAGTTAAATCTCCAGTAGATAGTAATAGATGCTGTATAGACTGAAAATTTAGACCTACTTTTTTATTTGGAAGACATAAAACGACAAACAAATGTGAAACAAATTCTTGATTTTATGAATCTGAAATTTTAATGAATTTATTTGTTATTTACCGATGACGGTTTCCTAGATTTTTGAAATGCCTTATTTGGCTTTCTACTCCTACTTCACATCGAAGACATTGGCTGTCATGTTGTTATTATTATTATATGACTCATTCTCAAAACTTAATCATCAATTACAAACGAACTGTTATTTAGTGCAATTCAAAACATTTCCAAGATCTTACGAAATAAAGTATATCTCTCATAAAATTGATTTCCCAAAATTCTTTGATGTTCTATTCAGATTAAATTTTAAGTATTTGGCACTTTAGCCAGCTCGGAAACCCCCCGAACTCCCACTCGGAGCAGATATAAGGCACTTATCAAAAATGATAAATTTACTCTTTAATTTTATCTTTTATAAAAACATCTGTCAAGTCTATCAGATCTCAAATTACAATATATACATAGCGATTTGTTTTTAATTATCTTTTTAATGAAATGAATTCACTAAATGTAAACATAAAACATATTCGGATAATAGGTACTATTGTGCTCCAAAGGGACCCCATAGAGTAATACAAATTATATCCAAGGTCTTATACGTTTCGTTATTGTATATAACGTCTTCTTTCCTCCAACATACACATAAAGTGTGTCACAATTTAATTGTCAAGAATGTAATCTATCTCGTCGATCTCGTGATCATGGTGAAAAATATGTCGCGCAAGTCTCGCTTACGGTTTTGTGTTTTACTGCATTTTTTGAATTCAATGAACGCAAAAAAAAAGGAAAAACAGTTCAGGAAAAACGTTTAAAAAACAGTACATTTATTTCGTCTTAGAGTTTGTAATAATGTTATTCATTTCACATTCTCTGCATCTCGTTCTTCATTTCACATTTTCGCTTTTCATTTCTTATTTCTCATTTATGATTTCGCTGTTCTCGTTTCTCTTTTTACACATCTCATTTCTCATTTCGCACATTTCATTTCTCACTTCTCATTTCTCATTTTGCAGAAGTCATTTGTGATTTCACAAAACTTATTTCTCTTTTCCCACGCAGGATTTTTCATTTTTCAGTCCTCATTTCTCATTTCGCACATACAATTTTCATTTCGCACACAACATTTTTCATTTCGCAATCTCGATTTGTCGTTTCTCACTTCACATTTTTCTTTATGCACTTCATTTCTCATATCGCACACATTATTTCTCCTTTCACACGTCTTAGTTCTCATTTTGTTTAACTCATTTCTTATTTGCACATCTGATTCCTATTTCCAATTTCAAAGATCTTATTTCTCATTTCGCACACATTGTTCATTTCGCAAACCCGATTTCTCGTTTATCACTCCATATTCCTCTTTCTGCAGACCTCATTTCTCTCTCATATTAAATACATCATGTTTCATTTTACACGTCTTAATTCTCATTTCGCATAACTCAATCCAATTTCCCTCTTCACACATCTAGCTTTCATTTTTCAATGCGCATACCTTATTTGGCATATTTCATTCCTGATTTCACACACCTTGCTCATTTCATACATCCGTCCTTAATTCGCACAGCTCATTTTTTATTTCACACAAGTCATTTGTCATTTAGCACATCTCAGTTCTTATTTAACATATCCCATTTCTCAATTTGCACATCACATTTCTCATTGCGAACATCCTGTTTCTCATTTGACACACCCGATTTTTCATTTCTCATTTCGCACATGCCACTTCTTATTTCGCATTTCTGATTTCTAATTTCGCATTTCATACATCTCGTTTCTCATTTCACATTTCTTATTTCTCATTTCTCACTCGCATTTTTTATTTCACATTTCTCACGTTCTGTTTCTCATTTCGTACTTCTTAATTCTCATAGCGCACACTCCATTTCTCATTTCGCACGTCTTGCACGGGATTGCTTAATCCGTACATCTCGTTTCTCATTTTTCATTTCTCATTACGGTTTCCTAATTAATTTTTCCGCATTTTCTTCTCATTTCGCATTTCCCATATGGTTTTTATCGTCTATTATTACAATATTGCAAGATGACTGTTTTAAATTTTTTGTTCTTTTCAGATTACATGCTATTAGAGCATAAAGATATAGTAGATACATTCTAAAGTTTTTCGTAAAAAAAATATTTGCTATTTGAACCACTATTACTATGAGTAATACAAACAAACATCAGGTGATAGACTTACGTGCGATGATAATGCTGTTTACAGTAGTATAAATCTCGTGTTTGTCTCGCACGGATGAATGAGAACACTAAATCTCAGATACCAAGTAAGTACCTAACATCCATCTGTTTTTCTTTTTTTTTATATTTTGATCGGTTTTGTTTCAGCAGAAATGATTTTTGACGCGATTTTCACAAACATTGTTGGCATCGGCATAGCCCTGATGACCATAATCATAGTTTACTACAAGTGGAGGTACCAGTACTGGAAGAGAAAAAACATGCCATATTTAGAACCAAGTATACCTTACGGTAATTCTGCTAGTCCCTTAAGACGCAAAGAACATAGCGCCATCCGACTGAAACGCAATTACGACTACATGAAAAGTAAAGGATGGAAACATGGAGGATTGTTTACAATGTTGACGCCTGCATACTTGGTAATCGATTTAGATTACTTGAAAAACATAATGACCAAAGATTTTCAACATTTTGTGGATCGCGGATTCTACTACAACGAAAAGGATGATCCTCTGAGTGCACACTTATTTGCTATTGGTGGTCAAAAATGGAGAAACTTGAGGACGAAGTTGACACCCACATTTACGTCAGGCAAAATGAAGATGATGTTCCAAACGCTGGTAGACTGTGTACCATACTTCTTAGAGAAAATTGAGACCGATCGTGTGAATCAAAAGCCAATTGATATTAAAGAAACACTTGGGTGCTTTACCACAGATATCATTGGTTCTTGTGCTTTCGGACTTGAATGTAACACGTTTAAAGAAGAGAATTCACCATTTAGAGAATACGGGCGCAAGTTTTTTGAAATGAGCAGGTTTTCAATGTTGAAAACTATTTTCTCGATGAATTTTCCAAACGTAGCTAGAACATTAGGAGTGAGTTTAACTCCTAAAGACATTTCAAATTTCTTCATCAAAGTTGTCAACGATACGGTCACCTGCAGAGAAAAGAATAACTTTACTCGTAAGGACTTTATGCAACTGTTAATCGATCTCAAGAATAACAAACTCGCGGTTGAAAACGGTTATAAACATGATGGTAATACTTTAACTAACGAAGAAATTGCTGCACAAAGCTTCGTTTTTTTCATTGCTGGATTTGAAACATCGTCTACCACCATGACTTTTGCTCTCTACGAACTTTCCAAAAATCACGAGATTCAAGATAGAGTCAGAAACGAAATCAATACTGTTTTGGCAAAGTACGATGGTAAGATTACTTATGAAGCAATACAAGAAATGAAGTACATGGATCTCGTGATTAATGAGACTTTAAGGAAGTACCCTCCTGTGGCTACACTTACCAGACAGTGTGTGAAAGACTATAAGATTCCAGATGAAGATATTATTATAGAGAAAGGTACTTTCATTGAAATACCAGTTTTTGCGATTCACCATGATAAAGATCATTATCCGGATCCGGAAAAATTTGATCCAGAAAGGTTTACCGAAGAGAATAAAAGTAAGAGGCACCATTATGCTCATATTCCATTTGGTGAAGGACCTAGAATTTGTATAGGTATGAAGGATGAATCGAGAATTTGAAACGAGTGATAGTTAACATGTTTTCTTTCAGGTGCTCGTTTTGGTCTAATGCAGTCAAAAGTAGGTTTGACCTCTTTGCTGAGAAATTACAAGTTTAAAGTCAACCAGAAAACAATGGAACCTCTAAAGATGAAAGTGAAATCTTTTATTTTAGCGGCAGAAGGAGAAGTATGGTTAGATGCAGAGAAAATATGATTTGGTTGTATTACTACACCTTAACTGAAAACTGGTATCTCAGATCTGATTTTTTTTTATTTTTAGTAATTGTAGATAGAAATTTTAAGTTTGCTAACCATAGTTACTTCGTATTTTTGTGATACTTAAATAATTATTATTGATGACTACCTATGTATTATAAGTATATGAATTTGATTTCAAAAAAATCTGTTTTCTGTGTAATCAGATTCGGTAGTTGAATAATTTTTCTCGCTATCCTTTAACAAGCGACTGGCGTATTCTATCGGATGTTCGTCGTATTTCTCCCCCTGGAGTAGGACTGCACCCAAGGCGTAACAACTTCGTCGGCTTGAGCAAGGACTGGAGCGGTAGTCAATCTTTCTTTTAACGTCTCGAAGGCTCTAAATTCGGCTTCACCAAATTGGAAAGACGCATTTTTCTTAAGAAGATTAGTTAAGGGACGTGCAATTACGGAAAACTACGAAACAAACTTGCGATACCAACTACATGTCTGAATGAAACTTTGCAGCTGTTTGCGATTGTTTGGAAGTCTCAAGATTTTGATAGCAGCTATTTTGTCAGGGTTAGTTTTAATTCCATCACTGGTCAGTATATGTCCGAGAAATTTGACCGAGTCGCAGAAGAACGAGCACTTCTCACGTCTAACATGAAGACCAATAAGTTTTAAACGCGAAAATACTGTTTTTAAGTCTATTATGTGCTTCTCGAAAGTTTCTGAAAGTACCAAGATGTCGTCTATATATACGAACACTGCAGTGTCCTTCAAACCGGATCTAAATCTGTCCATCAATCGAACGAATGTCGCGGGCGCGTTTTTCAACCCGAAAGGGATTCGATTGAATTTAAACGTCCCAAGTGGACTCATAAAGCAAGTTTTGTCACGATCTTCTTCAGAAGCAGGAACTTGTCAGTAACCTGCTTGTAAATCAATTGTAGACATGAATGGTTATGTTTAGCGGTGTGAAGAACATCGTCTATTCGAGGCATTGGATAACTATCGCTTACCGTTACTGAGTTTAGCTTACGATAATCTATGCAAAGACGATAGCTGCCTCCGTTTGGAGTTAAAACCAGAGGGCTGGCCCATGGTGACTCGCACTCTTCTATAATTCCTTGTGTTACTAATCGATTCAATTCTCCACGCAGGAATTGCTTTTTTAGTCCGTTCAGCGGGTACGGTGGTACGGAGATTGGTACAGCATTTTGTGTGTTAATTCGATGCGTAGCAAATGTAGTTTCTCCCCCTTGTTCGAAGATGGTGCTATTCTTCTGAAGTAGGGCGTTTATTTCATCTTTTGCCGTGTCTTTAATCTTCCAAGCTTCATTTTGGCGTAGGGTTATGGGATTACGGAGTTTGTTTTAATTCCATATTTGAAAGTATGTTCTGGTTTATCTCTAAAAAACCAACACTCGTTTTGGAAATCAATACCAATGTTACCCTTCTTGGTTTGTGTTTCTTTCTTGTTTGCGAAACGCGGATTCACGAAACGATTGCTCTACTTCGCGGGCACAATTAAGCAAATCTTTGAAAGAGTTTATTTCACTACGCGTAAGTCTCTTTCGATTCTTCAGAGCTAAAAGTCCATAAACCATATCCAGCTGCATTTCTTCTGCGACACTATATGACAATTGTGCCATTAAAGCGCGAAATTTCGCAACGAAAATATCAGTGGCTTCGTGTTGTGTTTGCTCACGAGCAAAGAGTTCTCGGAAGACTGCATGAGGGGGTAATTTCTTCGAATACACTTCTCTGAGGATATTTACTGCACTCTGCCAGTCTTTCGTCGACGGTTTGATTCCTTGCCACCAAGTAGCAGCGCTAGACTCGAGCAACATTGAAAGGCCACGCAGTGCATTTTCGTCACTGATATTGGTGCAGTCTTTATATGTTATGATTAGAGAGATGCAAAAATAGTTCAAGGACGCGGTTATAACTCCCACTCCTCATTATCATTGCCACTTCAGTGTCGCGCGGCGAAATGCAAGATTTAACGCTGCTGACGGAAAATGGGGGGAGGCGCCTGGGCTAAAACTGCATCTCCTTAGTTATGATGTTGTCCAGAAAAGCTTCTACATCGGCGTCATCTGACCCATTAAATCTGGCACTACATTTAGCAAAACTACCTGCAGATCGAGTGTAAGAAGATGGTGATACGCTTCGTCGTGCCTCGGACTGTTGTGTAGCTGCAGCTTACTCCGTAATTGTCGATAGTAGTTGCTTAAATTGGTCAGCCGATAGAGTAACTGAAGCTGGAATATTAAGTTTCGGCGGCATCATGGAATTTTGCACACAGTTAACCGCGAATGTACAATGGGGTGCTTCGAGCCACTAGGGGGGCGCCAATTATAATATGATTCATTTATTTAAATGTACAAAACATCAACAAAATTAAACATTCAGATACTATTTTTCTATCTGTCAACCTTTTTCTAATCAGCCCACTCTTCTTTTTTCAAAACTAAGTTGCGTTACAACTTATATTTTTATAACAGTTTCCGTTTTTCAGAATGACGTTCATTGTGATTTTCTTTAATAATACTTTTTAATTTTCGGACAGACTTTCTGTATTTTCAAAATTACGTTCGTTCTGCTTTTCTTTAAGAGACGCTATATTTTTAAGTAGACTTCCTGTTTTTCAGGATGGAATTCATTTTGCTTTCCTTTAATATACCTTCCTTTTAAGTATAGTATAACAAGCTTCAAAAAGAGCTATAATAGTACGCGTTCCTAATTTGAAAATGTTCGAGTCATTACATTTTTGACCAAAATGTGACCTGATTTTGTTCGCAATCGGCAGAAATTAGAAAAAGAAGGTTTTTTTTATTTCCGTGGTTTAAGAAAGTTTCATTTTGTTGTTTAACGACGTCATCTCAAAATTTTCAATCCAGTGTTTTGGGAAACAATTCATGATTTTATAACAACTTTGGTCCGAAACTTACATTACATACTACGATGTTAGCGTAAGTCTGGTAGATTGCTACCCAAAAGTTGTCTATCCATCACTAACACGTTGATGACGTCACCTTAAAAGTTTGCTCAGTAAACGTTACGTATATTTTTTATTTTAAACCGTAAACATTGTCACAAATCAAATGGTATAATTTATTTGAGAGACTGCTCCTTGAGGGGCGAGGAAAGTTCTGTGTAACCAGTTTCAGATCAGAAATTTAGAAGCTGAACTGGATTCGTAAATAACATCAAAAATAAATAAAAATTGCAAGCAATTGCCCAATCTGCTAGATTACATTTCTTCCATAGAATTTGACCCTAAATAGCATAAGTTGAATGATCGAAGTTTATTTTTCATCATATGTTACAACGAACTTTTATCAGTTTACTAACAACTGACATTAGTCCGATCACTTTCATCTGTTTATTCTATTGTGAATTGTTGCCGCCATCTTGATTGGTTATTTTCGAGTACAGCTTTAAGTTATCAGATCTTTATACTTTAAAGTGTCGTCGATAAAAAGCATGAAGACAACAGGGACAACACTAGAACCTTGAAGGACAGCGGATGTACTTACAAAATCGTAAGATTTTGAACCGCAAAAAGTTGTTCCCTTTATGTATGGTATTATAAGCTTCAGAAAGACTAGACCAAATCCAAAGGTGCTTCACTTGTATAGCACTCGAAAAATCTGCGCAGATAAGATCTACCTGCACTTTGTCATTTCATGACAAACTGATTTCCATGCCGTGTTAAAGTGCCTAACTTAGTTTAAATTGACCAGTCAGCTTTGTGTCCATGTTGGAAGGCCAATGCGTTGTTTTTGATGCTTGAAAAATGTTTATAATTATTACTATTATTTCAAGAAGTTCAGCGACTCTATCTCAAAAACTTTTAGTGTTGTCTTTGAACACAGTTGAATGTACAACCTAGCCGATATACACTTTAAAAACTGCATGAATTTCGAAGACTAATAATAAGATTTAAAGTCAACAGAACTCTAGAATGAAATAAAAAAAAAAAAGCAGTACAATTTCTAAAATTCGACAATTCAAAAAGTACATAGGAGAAGAAAGTTGTTCTACAAAAATTTGTACCATGACAGCCAGTTCCTGGATTCACTTCTAATAGTGTGTGCAGGTAACTGATCTTGGAAAATAAAAAAAAAATCTGTTAAGAGATAACGTTAGATGATAAATTTAATCTTGGTGGATTTATTATAAGATTAGCAGCAATTTAGATACATTCACGGTAATTATGATGTTTATTTCTCTTAACAGTACATAATGCCAGTTCTACTGACAAACCACTCAACGCCGGTTTCCCTTAATACTATGTACTCAGAAAATTAATTATGTATCCACTACAATTTTATGATGTGATTATGGATAGCTGCAAGGACAGAAAAACAGACATAAGTAGGCACAGCTTTCATGGTGAGGGGGAAATTAAAAGACAAGTGACTGAATTTAAAACGGTAAATGAAAAAATATCTTATATAAGGTTAGAACGTAAACACAAAAGGGTATCTACAAGAAATACATATGCACCCATTGAGACTAGCGATGATACAATAGAGCAGCAGAAAGAATATTAAGAGAGAATGAATTAATACTATAGCAAACATTAACGCAAAGAGAGAGGCATCCAGAAGGTAGCGGGAGTACATTCAGTAGATACATGACAGCACAAATAGTAATGCATAATGGGAAAAGGAAACATTTAAAATGAAAATAAGCAATAAATAGACTAATTCCTGATACGAACAACACATGGTGATGATAAATTGTGTCATACCTTATAAAGGAGCGAATACAGTGTTAGATCATCAAGTATAAAATAAAAACAACGACAACGGAAGGAAAGGAGACATAGACAAAATGGAATGTAGACAAACTGAAAAAAAAGAGACTCAAATAAAATTTGAAAATAATTCCAGTTGACTACTGTTAGCGGAATATAGTTGGTTTCCTATTATAAAATTCAGTGACTTTGTTCTCCGAAAAGATAACAATTCATGATAAATAATAATTAATTTTATCTTGGTGGATTTAATTTGAGATTAGCTATAATTTAGATATGTTTACAATGATTATGATGTTTATTTTTCCTAAAAGCATATAATGCTAGTTGCAGTGACAAACCACTCAAAGCCGGTTTCCCTTAAGTCCGGTCTAATTGCGTCCTATTTTAAATACCTCACATGGAGAACATTCCTCGCGATTTCAGGAGTTGCATTTTAAAAATGTGAGTTATGCCGGCTTAAAAAAATTATACCTATAGAATTAACAAACGTGAATATAGGAGACTTCCATTTTTATATTCATGTCTTAGTGTACAGTTTTTAACAACAAAAATTATAAACCTGACCAATTTTTAAACCACTTTAAACGAACGTGGAACGTGTTCATGTATTTTTTAAGGAAGTATTGTTATGGTCTGCGTTGTAAGGAAGCACCCCGAAGAAAACTGTCAGCTTTCTTGTAATAGGGGAAGTTGGGGGAATACCGGCCACCGGGGTAATTCCGGCCCCCTTAACTGCTCTTTCATTATAGACGCTTCAGTCAGTTGAGCAATTGGAGCCATCTATAGGATGGTAGCATAGTTATAACCTAAAGTCTTAATAGGATTGCAAAACAATCGTGGAAGTAACGGCCGATAAACTAAACTTGCCTAAACCGATGTATAAAAGTTTATTGTTTAGAACTGAATTGCGCCCAAACTGTTATAGTATAATCATCCATAGTTGTTGAGAGTGTTCAAGTGATTTTCCTGAGCCAGAGGAATAATCGTAAGTAGAAAAATATTGTAAGGAAAATTTAATTCGTCATTTGAAGTAATGTGGGGCATTTGGGGTTATATTGGCCACGTTCAGTGGGGGAAATTCGGCCGGCCATAATTACCCCGATTTTCTTTTGTAGATGCCCCGCAATTACTCCAGAAAAACAGATAGAGCATCTTGGACTGAAATTGCATTAAAACAGGCCATACACGACATTAACAAAGGGACACCAGTTAGAGAAGCCGCTAGAGTATATGGGATTCCCAGAAGCACGCTTCAAACAAAATTGAAACGAAAGATTAAAGAACCTTCAACGTTAGGTCGACCACCTGTATTTTCAAAAGAGGAAGAAAAAGAATTAGCTGACCGAATAATTCATTTATGTAAATTGTTTTTTGGGTTGACAAGAGAAGAAGTAAAAAAATGCGCCTTCGATTATGCAAATAAAAACAGTTTAAAATGTCCTTTTAACACAAATAAGCGACGTGCTGGAGATGATTGGCTCTATGGCTTTTTATCAAGACACCCAGAGATTTCCTTAAGAACGCCAGAAGCGACAAGTATAAATAGGGTTAAAGCGTTTAATAAAAAAGAAGTTTCAATATTTTACAATAATTTAGAACAACTTTTAAATAATTACAGTTTTACTGCTAACAGAATTTTCAATACAGATGAAACAGGAATATCAACTGTACAATCTCCAGGCAAAGTTTTGGCTAAAAAAGGCACCAAACAAGTTGGGTACTTAACAAGCTGGGAAAGAGGCAAAAATATAACGGTTGTTTGCGCATTTAGCGCATCCGGAATGTATGTTCCCCCAATGTTTATTTTCCCCCGTAAGAGATTGAATCCACTGCTCGGAAAAGGAGGTCCACCAGGGGCTGCTTATCGATGTTCAGAGAGTGGATGGATTAATGAGGAACTTTTTTTTCAATACCTGAAACACTTCCAAAACTTTGTCAAACCGAGTCTTGAAGATCCTGTCCTACTTGTTATGGATAATCATACTACACATTCGACTCTGCAAATTTATGACTTTTGTAAAGCAAATGGAATTGTTCTCTTGACTATACCTCCACACACTTCACACAAATTACAGCCTTTAGACGTTACCTTTTATAAATCGCTTAAAACTGGGTTTAACGAGGAGTGTAATAAATACCTAAAATGTCATCCACATCAGAAAATTACTCCATTTGAGGTTGCGGAACTATTTAATAAAGCGTTTATGAGAGTCGCAACTCCACAGAAAGCGGTAAATGGATTCGAACACACTGGAATTTTTCCATACAATCCAGACGTCTTTTCCCCTGAAGATTTTACACCGGCACAGATATACAAATCACATGAACCAGACATACGTGAAGCAGAAGAATCTGCAGAAATCATTAGACATTCCTCGCCAGAGCTTACACTGATGGGGGAATCCATTAGGCATTCAACTCCTGAACCGACATCTAGTCTTGTGCCTGGTACTTCGGAACATTTGTCATTTACAGAGATGCTACCGACCCCTGTAGCTAAAAATTTAGGGACTCGAAAAAATTCAAAAGCAGTTCATTCAGAGATAATCACTTCAACGCCAAATAAACAGAATTTAATACTGAAAGAAGACAGAAGATTGAAGAAACTTGAAAGGTCCAAGAATAAGGAGAAGAAACTCAGCAGTGTCAAAAAACAGGTTTTTTCCAACAAGGAATCCAAACTCTCAACCAAACAAGCAAGTTCAAAAATGTCGCATGTGGATATATGCCTTGTGTGTGGAGAATTTGGTAAAAATGGGGAATTGTGGTTACGCTGCATTATATGTGGAGAATGGGCACACAAAGCGTGCACCGATCAAACCCAAGCCCACACACAATACATTTGCGATCATTGTTGCTAACTTATTACAGGCTGCACTGAAGTCCGGCTGATATTACCCCGATGGGCGGGGGAATATTGGCCAATACAACCTTTTGTTTGTTTTTTTTGAATTATTTTATTTACACGTTTAATGTAAAAATCAATAAATATTCTTTTACAAAACACCTTAAACTTTATGTTGACAAAATTTCATTAACATCATTTCACAAGCACACCTTCTACAGGCAAAAATTCTTAGGGGGCCGATATTCCCCCAACTTCCCCTACCATTTATAACCTTAAAAAATTCACAACTGAGGTAAACAAAACCAGGAATGGTATTCTACAATTTTCGTAGCGTTGTTGTGATACCAAACACGGATCTTCGATCGACTTCGGTTGACAACTTTAAATCGTATAATAATTACCACCATCACCGTTTTTTTTATCCGTCCCCTCTCGGGTCGCCGTACCGTCCCCGGGCGATTTCCCGTTTCAAGGACGCCGGGCTCAGATACAGGCGAAGCCCATCTTGAAAGAAGTCGCCATCCAGGAGTTTTTATGCGTCTTAGGTCGTGGTTTAGCGTTATTAAAGATGTAAAATGCTATATTTTAGATTGAAAATGGACATAATACTTAATTAAGTTTGGGTTTCAGGCAGTACAATTTAAATATTACACTTGCGGACATGAAAGTAAAGGTTTGGGGTTACGTAAATCAAACCATGTTGTGGATTTAAAATTTGTCTTTATTGAATTTATCATTCTTATGTTCACCAGTTAAGTATACTAACAATAAATCAAAAACTGTTGAAAAGATTCCACAAAAGCTAAACATTTTTTCAGTATTTTTAACAGAACACTGTGCATGAAATGTTTTGGATTTGATATTGTCTGAGTTTCCTACTTTTTTATTTCTAGTGTCTTTGATAACATTAAATTCAACATTTACTGGAACAACAAAGTCATTAGAATCTTTGGAAAATACACACTCAAACGTAAGGGGCAATTCTGAATGAAATCTGTTAAAATTTAAAGGTTGTTAAAATTTTAAAGGTTGTTAAAAATGAATCTCTATTCTGTACTGTTTAATTTTGAAGTCCGTTTAATTTTAACACCCTTTAAATTTAAACATCCGACAAAATCAAAATTTACTATTCTAAAACATCAAATTGATGTTAAATTTTAACAATGGTGTTTAAATGAATCCGTTAAAAGGGACAGTTTTAAAGGATCCCTCGCTAGTACCCTTTAATTAACAAAAAAAAAAACAATAATGGCGTACCTGGACGGTATTTTGCATTTATTTATAGTAAATTATAAAGAGAATTTACAAAGAATGTAAGTAGTTATTTAATAAATCATCAGGAAAAAAGTGGGGCCCGTTGATTAATTTATTTTTCGCCTGTCAATTACTGAACGATATCACCTTGCAAATGGTAGCAATTAGCACCCTCGTAATGCTCCAAATAATAATTGCCCGCAAATTGCAAGTTAATTTTTATGGTTATTAAATAACAACATAACTACATTTGGAAAATAATTTATTTTAATTAACAATTTACAAACATTTCATACCTACATAAAAACATAACGAAAATAATTTCTATTCTCATTTCCCAAGTAAAAAATACAATTTTCAATTACTTAACTAAATTTGACGCTCCTATACTGTCCTCTTTTATGATTGTGAAGCTTTTCGAGGCACCAGTCTGGAATTTCGACCACTGAAACAAATCATCTGTCTTCAATGTTGTTGATGCGCAGCTTGGCCAGTTCCTCCCGCACATTGATTAAATACATATAGATAGACCCATGCTATTGTTTGGAGCGAACAGGCCAACGGCCGGCGAACAAGAGATGGCGCACCAACAGTCGGCCGTCAAACGCCGGCGAAAAGCTTGGACACCAATCGCGCGCGTAGATAACCCAAATCGCAGCAACAATACATTTAATAAAGCTACCACTCGACAGAGGGCGACGACAACAATGTGTAAAAATCTCATAGTAACCATTTATATAATTTGCAACGTTGCCAGATGAGCCTAGCACAACTTTGCCGTTATTTCTAGTCGATTAGATTTTATTTCGTTTAAAAGTTTCTGGTGAATAAATCGAATTATTATAATGAATAAACAATACAAACAAATTATTACTTGTTATTTTAAATACTTGTTAGTGTTGATGAAAACATAAATGGTAATTAAAGTTATTCTAAATACTTCTTCTTCTACTTCCGGTCCGGTAGCTCAAATTTTACAGTACGAGTGATATGTTTCAGGACGAGTAGGTAGCCGAGTCTTTAATTTCGAAACGAGTACTGCGAAAAGAGTTACCGGACGTATGTTGTTATGTATTTTATTTCATACTGTCAACATACTTTTTTATTCGATAATATTATTATTATTTTGAGAAAAAATCCAAATCGAGTCACTTTTTCTGACATCGTTAGCAACCGCTCTTTGGTAAATGTTTTAATTTGTTTATTCGTGCAAATCAGCATCATATGTTTGAACACATAGTACTTATAACACTTTACAGGACTTATTGTTTTGTATAATCCGACTCGATGGACGAATGTTTTGTGCAATCCGTCTCGAAGGACCAATGTTTGTGCAACTCGGCTCGTCCTACCAGTATTTTTTGTAATCTGGTTGATACGACAATGTGATACCGAATTGTATTTTGATATTGCTCCAAGGACCTTTGTTTTCTTGCGTGCGAGATAATAGACAGTGTTCGGTTTCGATGTTTAATACAGGACGGTTACAGAAATACCAAATTTACATTTGTATTTACAATAACAGGTAAAGCAAAAGAGACCCAAAAGGGTCAGTGGCCGCTTCCGGAAATGGAACATTTGTCCTTTTTGGCTCAATTTTATCGGACTTGTCCGTTTTTTTGATTTTATCGGAATCGTTCGATCCAGTAAAACGTCAAACTTGACATAGTCTAAAGTAAAATAAATAAATTTTATTCAATTTTGACATGTAAACAAACGTTTATTTTGCCGTCAGTAGGCCACTAAAGCTTTGGTTTATCCGGTAGCACCACAAAATTTTTAAACCGCTAGCGAAATAAAATTTTTTTTCACTAGCAGCCTGGACGCGTGCAAATGTCGACTCATTTAGTGGTAGCAAATTCAACTTTTGCTACCACGGGTTCAAAAAGAAAAATTGAGGTTATGTACGCAATGTTTGATGTGATTATTTCTTAAAGAATGAACAAATGTGTGCTACAAACATTACTTGAGTGTACGCATGGTAGTTGGTAGACGGTAGAAGATAAAATGTTTAACTCAGCGACAAGTATAAACGGTTTTCTTTGTGTTGAAGATTTAGATCAAGTTTGATTAGAAATCAAAACAAAATCACTTTGCGTCAAAAAATTGAACGTTTATTTTTCAGTTTATTGTCTTATGGTTTCTACTAGTGAAAAAAATAGTATATTAACCACGGTTGCAAAGCCACTTCTAGACCTCGCACTTAGAGCCCTCGACGCTGCGCGTCTCGGGTTCTAATTTGCGCTCGGTCTAGAATGCTTGACTCTGCAACCTTGGCTAATAATATACTATTATTTTGCTGTTTTAAAACCATGGTTACCATTTCTGTAATTTCTCCAATGCCTTGCTGCTCTTTCCATCTAAGGAACTTTTGATACACTTTCTGATTTGCTCTTTTTTGGGAGCAAGTTTTGCCGTTGGAATCTTGCATGATTTTGCAATTTTTCGATAATTTTAGTTTGTTTAAAATAAACACCGTCGCCAGAGTCACATACTACACACACACACCTGATATTGTAACCTAAATTCTACGCATATAAAACTTTTATTTGGTCGCTGTCAATTCTGACGTTTCTCGAATGTGAACTTTGAATCACCAATTTTTTCACAATTTGGGACTTGGGGTTGTCAAAATTGAATAAAAGTTTGTATTACACTCGCGGTTAAAATGAATGTGTAACTCGTGGTCTTAAGGCGCTCGCGGCATACGCCGCTCTCGCCTTAAACTGGCCGCTCATTAAACATTCACTTTAACCGCTTGTATAATAAATAACTATTATGATGTAAATACAATTAAGTATATCGATAATTCGCTACTGAAAATTATTGAAATATAATTTGTGTTAAAAAAAGATTTTTGTGGTTTTATGGGTTATTAACATAATTTACTTATTTGAAATTAAATATTTTTAATACATAGCACAAGTTCTTGATATTCTTTATTTTTATTCCAAGTAATAATTGTGTTTCCTTTAGTTTTATAGGTCGATTCTGTAACAATCAGTTAACATTATGTTATTTTAAATTTCTGTTATTAAAATTGCTATGTTATCAGGACGTTAACATAAAACAACAAATGTCGTATTCTGTAAACCGTTATGTTAGTACCTAAATAACAGATGTGTCATTTGTCCGAAAATGTTATTTTTCGAAGTAATGACACCATTTTCATCATCTGTCACTGTCAAACAAATACACCACGAAAATATTTTTCATAAAATTTTTGCTTAGTAGATATTATCGCTTCTGCTGTCGTTGGGAACTAGATCCAGACAGGCATTAAAATTTCACTAATTAGGTGACAAATTTAAGTCATGACCCTGCTAACCGATGGTTGACTCATGGCAACAAAAGAAGACATTCCTACGCAGTGTTGGTATGGAGCCATGGCCTAAGAAGTTCAATGTGGCTAAAATTTTTAAGTATCCCGGAATACCACTGGCACGTAGATTTCCCAAATGAGGTTCCAACCTCTCCAACAAGAAACGGGTCATATTTTTGCTAAAATGAAAGGACTTTCTAAATTCCGTCTCTGTTAAATTTTCAAAGGAAATTTGATTGTCGCGAAGCTCTCTCAGCCGAATTCTCATTCTGTTCATATAATACATGTATTGTAATATTTTTAGTAATACTATGATATGAAAGACCTACCGTTGAATTTCGTCTTCTAATAATAAGTAACCGAAGACGGGTAGAAAATCATCCACTTCTGTCATTTTACTTCTTTTGCCACCTCAGTCAAATTTGTGATATTATTAATTAATAAACCTCAAAATAACCGCATTATGTTAATAACATTGACTCAAATGTCTCTGTTATTTTA